CTTCCTCAACTGGAAGCTGATTTTTTCTCTACCACAGGAGGTTATTGCTAATGGTGTTTGGCCAGCAAATCTGCACTATCTTGTATAGACAGCTGTTAACAAACATCCGTATCTTTTGGATGATGTTTTTTGTGGTTCTCCAGGTTTCTGCTCCATGCAATAGAACTGTCTTAACATTCACAGTGAAAATTCTGACTTAAGTGTTGGTTGTAAGTTGTTTTGAATTCCAGCTGCAGAAATGCTAACCTTGCTTTGCTAATCGGTGCCTTTATATCAGCATTAGATCCGTCTTGTTTATCAATGGTGCGATAGCCAGAGAAAACTGAAGAATATTCTTGTGTAAAAATTATCAATATACTAACGTTTTTATTATCATGATTTCTTAATATTCAGCTTGGTTTCTCAGAATATAATTAACTACTTGTTCATGCTGTGTTCTGATTATGGCGACTAGATGAGCGTTCTATAGTGTTAGAAGTATACTATGAAATAAGGTGGCTGGATTGTTTAACCGAGAACATTAACACTAACCTTCACATGATGTGTTATTGTTACAGTATTGTGCAAGAATTTATCTATGGTTATTGAGTTACATAAATTATCCAACTTCAGTTACTAATGTTAGGCACCTCATTAACCATAGAAAGTTTATAATTCTGTGTATAACTGAGAATGACAAATTAGTAATTTCATCGACGAAGAATATATCTTCATCTTCTCCATTTGAAACAATTTAACTTTACTCCTGTTACAATTCAAAATTATACTTTTTTATAGAAACGATACATTTTCTAACCACTTCAGTTGATATATATTTACAAGTATTTAAAAGCTGGTGTCTGATCTAGAAAAAATGATTACAAGTTACTAATAAATCCTGACAAAATACCTGTAATAGTTAAGCTGATTTTTTGTAAGCTTTAGGATGAACTATAGATAATATACAGAGATGCCTGGGGTTAGCAGTGAAACTCAGGAGTCGCAGCTTGTCCTGTCTGAGACTCATCAGCAGAATGTACATGCATCTCAGAGTTGATGTTCACTCCTAGACTTTAACTTATATCGTTCACTTCAAACTCCATCGCCTTATCCATTTAGCTACTGAGTCCATTTAGATATTGAATAGTGAAATAATGTGAAGTTCAACTCATTTGTATTGGCTACTTGAATCTTCCCATTGGTGTCAATGACTGTAATTGATTGGTCTCTTTCAGCATATGTGCATCTATAATGGTGATATAAAGGCGATTTGCAGATTTGCCAAAAGAGATAGATTAATTGCAGCTGTAAACATCAATGAGAAGATTCAAATAACCAATACAAACTGTTCATTGAAATCATGAACCGGTCAATGTTAGACCACCATTAAAAAACCCGGAAGCACCGGACGGCCGTTTCCCACTATGAGATTCCTCAACAGTGCCCATCCAAGAACCCTCTCTCGCAAGAATCGAATCCAGAACCTTCGGTTTTGCTCACAACCTTCTCACCTTTAAACCACTGATTCGGTATTGAACGGTGTAAATGTCTAACTTCCATCAGTCTGCGACTGTATGATTTATACTTGATTTAAAGCGTGTTATTCTTCACTCCATTTAAAAAAACCGATTTCACGAACTAAGTAGTTGACACTACCAAATGTTACTACTTAAATATAACAGAAAGGTGTGAATATATTCATGAGTGTGGTATTTATTGCTTCGAAATGTGTCGTTCACGTAGATAGATTTAAATCATAATAAAATAATCTAGAATATCTAACTACAGTAGTCTCAATTTTTAAACAAAATTGTGTATAAGTTTTCCTGTATCAAACATACTTTTATATAAATTCCTAATTTTCGTTCATTTTTCTGTTCATTTATCTGCTCTCGATTTTCCTACAATTAAGCTGCATGCGTTTGTTGACCAATTTTATGAAATGCTTTCTTTCAATCTTTGACCTGGGATATCTTTTTATTAAAAATAATCGATGCATCTCTAACGTTTATTTCAAAAGACTGAATTTAAAATCGATAACTAAAGTAGAGCTGTTATTTAGTTAAACATGCTTATTGGTTGCTAGAAGCTAATCAATAAACCTGTGATATATTTCAGTAAATTTTCAAAAAATATACCGATCTGCGTATAAGAGTTTACATTTTCCCGTTGCTGTTATTGAAACTAATCACTCACAGTTAACATTTGTATATCCTGAGCTCATTACCTCAATGTTGTTATTTCATTAAAAGTTTTTATTTATGTCGGTTGGTAGATATCAATGAAATCTCAAAAGCAAGTTGTATCGTATTTGGAAAGTATCATCCGGATAAGCCTACATCACAGTGTTAATGTTTGTATTCAAACTCGCATATAGAATTTTTCATTTCAAACAATAATTTGTCATAGATTTATCTACTGAATCCATATAAACATTGATTCGTTTAATGTTTATGAAATTTCTTTGTAAGAGTTTGTACTTTCTTATAGTCCAACTTTAACAGTAGGTAAATTAGTTTGGGTTGAGCAATATAATAATTATGTAGGCAATCAAATTTCTTTCTTTAATTGTCATACTTTAGCATTTATAGTTCTATGATCAATCAGATTGATGTGGTCTATTTTAGTTTTTAATTTGGAAATGTTTAAAATCAGTTGGATGGAGAGAATATAAACTCAGGTACCATACAAAATCAGATTCAATTAGGAGTTTACAACAAGGAAGCTCTGTGTAAATAACTCTCATTGTTAGATATTGATCAATAAAATTGTCATGGAATAATGGAGTTTCCCAAAACTCATAACTGACACATTAATTGAACAAATAAATTATTGTAATTTATGAGTCCATTTGGTGGGGTTCGGTTTGAAGCTCAGTAAGAATACTGATATTAGTTGGAGGTTAGGCCAAGAAGACGAAACTAATTTAATTTAACTTCGGTTATCTGAAATTGCCAAATTTGCTGCTAAAACATGTGTTTAACGATGATGGGGTTGCTATTTTTATAAGTAACTCTATACAAATCCGATTATTAAGATCCTCCCTCTATTTGATACACTAATAATGTTCGGTTGCTTTCAACAGTGTATAAATGGTGAAGATGAAGTTAAATTTATGACAACAGGGCCTAGTGTTACCAAATATTGCCTTTTGTATAGCGGTTCAGTAAGATAAACGACTGAATGAAATTGTTTATGATCATGTTTTTGATGGCTTAGTGGCTGTGATGTGTTTTCCAAATTATAATAATCATTCTCTTTTTTGATCTCTTCACAATATTCTATCATTTCACTCTGTGTAGTATTTAAATGATACCGTTAATGCACCAAAAATTGATTTCGTTTTTCAACAATATTTCGTTCATTGAGTATACTTAATACACTATAACGGAAAAGGAATTGAATTATTCACATCGCAAGATCATGATATTCAGTCACGTGATACGCTATTACTCAGAAATCCTACCTTTTGATGGAGAATAAGACTATAGCAAAACAAAAGTTCATTGCCACAAGTCACAAACTAATCAATAAATGTAATTCGTCATTTTGATCTAGTTTCTCATATTTAACATAGCTGGATATATCCGTCTTGATTCATTCACCTATCAACACTATGTAATCAGTAAGTTCAATTCAAAAATCAGAATCAGTCTATAAGTTCATAAATTCATACAAAGCTTTCAGAAGAATTATTATTGAATGATTTGATTAAAATATACTATTGGAATGGAATTATTTTAACCATTTTCGTGATGAATATTCAATATCCTCACAACGCATTTAGTATATTGTTAATTGAAAATACTAGGTTGCATTAGGCTAACGGATGTCAAGTGTCATTTGAAAAGTTGAAAGCGATCTTAGAGTCTGATAAATATTTTACTTACTGTAATCCCAAAAGCTTGGCACCAGATGCGTTTGGTTATGGTATTTGAAATGGGATTTTCCATCACTTCTCTAGTGGTTTGTGGAAAGTTGACACTGATGCTTCGTAAACAATTTCTTTTGCCGTAAAACAGTACGATCGAATTGAGAAGTATGAGTCCGTATTTATGTCTGTATTCTGAAATTCTCATAAGATTATTACATGGTAGAAAATTTAATTATAAGAATGACCATTAGCTTCTGCTAAATACATTAGGCTCGAGTACTGTTAGATCGGTTGGTACAGCGAACTGCGGGACTGAATATCTGTCGTCAGTCACTGATCAGTCATAGATCGATCTGACTGAACATGATCTATACTACAATGCTATACATTATTTCACTATTATAAAAATCAATTTTTCGGTTTTAATTGAATGTTTGAGAAAGAAAAGCTTATTGACAACATAATACATATAGATAGTGAATACTATCTAGATTATAAATTCTCTACCGCTACTGATACTGTTACTACTTCTACTATTCTAGGATTCAGGTAGATCATATTATCCCAGAATGCTAATATAGTGCGCCAACTTGAACTGATACGCACATATATATGTTAGGCTCCGAGTGACATATGACTAACTGAATAAGGGTACGATTCATGGATACGTCTTAAAATATTCGATTGGTTATTCTTACTATCTCTTCATACATTTTGAATGAAGAGGATTTACAAATGGTTGAATAGCACAAATAAGTCACACTAGTTAGCTTCGATCTCAACATTACAGAAACATCTGTTTGAGAATTACTTAACTTTATATGACCAGTAATTGATTCTTAACACTTTTCATGCTAAATATTCTCATTAATGCTAACTGAATGCTATTGAACACAGTTGTACTGTGTTCACTGAGTAATCACACAGTTTAGAAAAAACAGGTAGTGAATCAGTCATTATAATATTCATCCGATTGATTAAGCAGTAATTTTACTGTAACTTTTATTTTACAGATATGTAAAGATTTTGTGATTGAACAATATTTCTATATAAACACACTTATTATTGTTTACTTTACTTGATAAGCTAACATTCCAGTTTCTCATTTTCATCTCCTTTCTAGTAAACATCTGTGATTGTTGTAACTATGTCTAATCAACGTTCACAACTGCTTTTCTCAAGTCAAGCATTAACCACAATGGATACAAATACAAACGTGACTAATTCACCATTGGCTTCAGTTAATCCTACAGCAGTACCTTGTGGTCAATGTCTTACCACAACAAGTACACAAAATATTTTAACTGGACAACAAAATCAATCAACTGGACATAAACCACAATTAGGTCATAATATAACAGGTTTGCAAAAATCAATGCATACAGTTGTACACACAAGTGGTGTGCCAGCTGTTATGGAAACTTATGTACATGGTAATCGTGGACTAACTGCTCATTATCCTCTAGGAACGAATACATTACATGAAATACAAGCAATTCCAAGAGTTGTTGAACAAGTTAACACTACTACTGGTGCCGTGAGTGTTCAACAATCACAATTTGGAACAAATTATCGACCTGTATTAATTGCAAATACATCGATAAAAGGTCAACCTATACTAGGAAGTAATAGTTTACCAAATAATCAAACATATCAGATGATTGCTTATCCACATCAAGCTTTAAATATGGTACAAACACATGCGAAAAATGCACATACACTACCAATTGGCACTACTAATACTATTATCAGTGCTACAAACAGTGGTAGCAGTCATAATAATTTAATGTTAGCTGGTGTAATTGCGCCTGAATGTTTAACAACTGACTCCAACAATAATGCAGCTCGTATTGCACAACTTCTAGCTCCTTCTGGAACACATCCTATTGCATCTACTGCAACACATATTGGTGGTAATACTCAATACCTCGTCTATTATCCTCAGCAATCAAGTACTGGAAGTAAGTACATACACTCCATTACATTAATCCTAATTATGAATTGTTTGGGAATCATTAGTAGTAAAAATCCTGTGATTACACTTCGTTTAAATATAAATTTACAAACTCAGTGATATTATCTATGGATAGGATATTAATCAGTGAAAAATTCATGTTGTTTGGCCTATGAACTGTCAGGCGCTTGCTTGATTTGTTAAATTATCTCATACCTTAGTTCAAATACCTCTGTAATTGAAGTACTCAGTTTATGAGGTTTACTTATTACACTTTCATCACAAGCTCATTAGTTCTGATATGATCAGTTTTTCAGATTTTGGTTACTGAACGATCTGTAATCCATAAGTTACGTACTCCATACTAAACGATTCTATAGGTGCTAATATTGATTGATCATATGATGTGACTTTATCGATATGGGAAATAACTGGATATTGTAGTTCACTAATATTGATGTCAAAAGTCTTAATAAAATATTACTTATTATCTGTTCCTTGTATCCTTTCACATTTTGCTTTGCAGCTCTGACTATATGATTGAACAATATGGGGTCAAATTTCAAACCTAAAATAAGCAGTAGCGGTCACTGTTACAACTCAAAAGTCTTTAGTCTAATCTAAACTAATCATGTTACAAACAAACTTTATATATTAGGTGATTTTCGTTTTCTTTAAATGAATTAAATGGTTAGAATAAGAATATTGGAACGGTTCTTGTACTGTGAATATTTTCCGTTCCGTTTATATAAAACCGTTTTTATTGAACTTTAATTTTACTGGTTTGCATATGTGAATTGATTGGCTCTGACCAACTCATTATTCACACCGAACACCTAGTGAAGAATAGTTATCTTGATCATTCTAACTACATCATACGATTATTAAAAAATATATACATCTAAATGTCCTGAAAATTGAATCCTTTTTTCACCAAAATACATTTGTAGTCGTACAAACAGCTATCCAACTTATTTATCCACTTTAGAGGAATCACATCACCAAATGAAACAGACCGGGGATAGCTAAGCGTGAGCAGACATATTTTTAGAAAGACACATGTAATCATACACATAAACATACGAACAGAGTAACTTATTGAAAATTTAGTTATAGAAAGCGTTATATACGATGTGTTTACCTATGCATATCTTGGAGATAGTAACAAATAAATCATTTTTTTAGATCGAATTCCGATCAACTGAGATTAATTTAAAAAAAGACTTCTTCCCAGTAGAGTAACCATTGTTAAAAGATGGATATCTGTTATTATCTCTGATAATTAGAAACGATGATCAGCTGTAATGATTCCACTAGTGGAGTATCATTTTGGTTGACCTCATAAGTATACTTGTCAGAATTTAATAATAAGTTAATGACCATAGATAATTAAATATTATGTTTGTTACAGACTAACATTGATAACGATTTTCTCAATCTTTGTTGATGATTACAAGCGATAATTTTATGTTGATAGGACAGTATAGTTTACGTATATATATATATATATATATATATATATATATATCTTTATATCGTGTATATTTGAGAAGGTTAGGTGGTAAACCTTGGTGAAGTGATTATATTACTACGTGTACGTCATTGATATTCTGTGTATTTTTGCAATAATAAAATTTGAATCTATGTTCAATGAAATTAGCTGAGTACTAGGAACGGTGAAATATCATTTTAGGCAACTTTAAAGTACTTTGTTTCCTATAAATCATTTGGTCTGAAATCTTAATTAAATTCACTGTCAAATCCTACGAACCTCGACGTGGCAGCATAGACCGTATATTCACACTGCTTCAGGCCCTAGAAAACAGAGACACCAGACGTCGATCTTGAGTTGCCATGGAGGAGTCTGTCATTGAAAATAATACCAGAGAAGTACATTAACCTTTTACAAGCTCTCTACTCGAACACTACAGGTCGAGTGAGAGCTTATGGCGAACTGTCATCTTCATTCTTTACTTCAAGTGATGTCCGGGGATGTCCACTCTCTCCATTATTGTTTAATTTCGTCATACACATGCTTTGAGAGAAATCGCTATCTTTTTCTTAATTTTCCGGAATTGAAAATTTACCGGAAGGTTCACTTGTTAACTTAGAAAATGCTGATGACATAGTTCTTTTCGGTGAAGACGCTGACAAAATGCAGTATCTTTTGACTACCCTGAGCAACCATGCATGTTCGGGATGCGATTCTTCCCTTCGAAATGCTAACTGTCGCTTCAGGATTGGGTTGCATCGGTACGTCAACTGGTGATAGGGAATGAAGTTGACCGCTTCACTTATCTCAGGAGTCTCATAAGTGCTGACTGATCGGTGTGTGATGAAGTATCATTACGGATATAAAGGGCTCTATTAGCTTTTTCCAGCTTACGCCAATTATTGCATAGACGAGATATCCATCTAACAACCAAAGAACAGGTTTACTACTGAACAGTCAGCCCCGTCCTGCTGTATGGGTGTGAAATATGGCCACAAAGTGTAAAGGATATTCGTAGGTAACTAATCGACACTGACACAGAACCTCACTTTTGACAGAGTCGAATGCCACTTAAGGTCAAGTAATACAACTGTTGTCGGACGCCTACGCTACCCACCATTGTTCGCGATCTTTGTGCAGGCTTTTATCAGCCTGTGCCTAAGCTGACTTCGCTCTTCATTATGGTCACAGCCAGGTGGGATAAGTTTTCGAGCACCTATCAGTTCGGTAGATGCTACTGAGATCCACGGCTTATTCCTAGACATATGGTTTAACTTACTAGCAGATATTGCTGCTGTTTCCACAGCTGTTTTAACATCATTCCAAGCTGCCTGAGGATGGACATCACTTATACTGTCACCTAACTGTTTTTCTAGTTGTTCTTGAAATATATTCTTAGCTATACTATCATTTAGTAGAACCCTAAGCGGTTTACTTTCGGTATCTTTCCCACGTCCGGTAAGCCGCAAGCAAATACGCGCTCGAACTAGAGCATGGTCTGAGTCTAAACGATTGCTCCAGAATGAGCGGCAGTCTTCAACAGAGCCTCTCCACCGTCAGCCTATAACGATATGATCCAGCTGGGTCCATCGTTGGGTTGGCTTTGGGGGTCACCAGGTCAAAAGGTGTTTTACCTTATGCTTAAACGTAGTGTTTGCTAGAAATAAGCGGTTGTATGAGCATATCTTCAGCAGACGGTAGCAATTATCTGTTCGATGGGCCTCGACACCATAAGATCCATCCAGGTATCTTTCCTTTTCACCAAGTCACTTACTTGAGCGCAAAAGTCACCAGCCATAATTACTACATCTGACCGCTAACCTTTCTGAAGAAGTTTAGAGAGGTTTCTGTAAAACTTATCTTTCATGTCGTCTGCATTGCAGTCAGTGAGAGCGTAGGTAGATACGACGAAGAGGCAACGGTGAGTTTCCCTATCTTTGCGAGTTCGTACCGTCCCGCATAGGCGAATATCTATCGGGATCCAGTCTGAGAGAGTTAGTTCTTCTCTAGGACTTGATACTATACCTACGCCAGTGAGGCCATGGTAAGCAGCATCAGGCCTACCAGAACCATGAAGCGTAAACCTTGTTGTGTCTCTGTCTGCACTAGTTGAAACCGAATGGAAGATTTTACTCGGATGTCGTATGCGCGTTTCGGATACGCAACACACATCGATCTCCTGGGATTCCAGAGTCCTGGTTAAGGAAGCCTGTTGCCCTATTTGGCACAAGTTTCTAACATTAAAAGCTCCAATATGTAATTTAATACGGGGTTCCAAGAGTCTCGGAATGATGTTTCGTGAACTCAAACCGTTTGCTTCAGTGGCGTGAGGTGATAAACGATCGAAATAAGGTTTGGTCAAAGATATAAGAGACCTAGTAGGTGTAGAAAGGATTTGATTGTGACTAATTTGGTCTCGTGTGCTTTTATAGGTATGAGGGTGGATGTTACTTCCCGGCTTCCCACATCGCGGAAAGGTTTTAATTGTCATAATGGGCATCGGCCTCATGACTCTCGAAGAAAATTGGCTTTCATCATGAAATGTCATAATTCTTCTAAATGAAGACCTTTTAACTCCCAGAGTAGAGTTTATATGGTTTGAATTATTATTTCTGGTTAGCGTTTTTTCGACAAGTTAGTTTTTTTCCGGGATGAGGTTGCCACCCCTCATCCTTTATCCGGGCTTGGGACCGGCAGTAGCCCCAAAGGGTCTACAGGAGGAGTTTTTGATTATTAATGACGGTAACCAAATCAATTGCAAACTTATATTAATCAGATAGATTTTTGTACTAAAAAGAAGTTAATTAGTTGAATATCGTTTATATTTTGATCAATATCATGTTTTGCTAGTTCATTAGTGCTGATCGGATTCGGTAAATCAAGTTTTAATGTATATACTAATCTAAATGACTCAACAATGAAAGTATTTTGTCATTATGATTGGTGTTTGAAGGTAGTCGGTAGAATACCCAGTTCGACTTTGTTCCAGTTGGCACTCACAAGCTAGATGTATTTGCAATCTTGGCGAATAATAATGTCTTTGTGGTATTCTGACCAGCATTAGGAGATCAGTTGCTTTTCAAGTAGGTCATTCTTAATGTCTCAAATTTCAAAACTTGATGGCATGGGTTTGAACTTTACAAAAAGAATACGCTTCCTGATAAGAATTCGAAACACCTTTTAGAGAACAGTAAGATTTCAAATCTTTTCATCTTCATGAATAAATGAATACTAACGCTTTGAAAGGGTTTATAAACTGAACACTTACAGTTGGTAATGACATTGTCATTTAAACAAATAAATAAAACAATTCATAAATAATCATTTACTTACATAATAATCTGTTAGAGACTTTGAGATATGACAGTAATTTGTAACACGCATTGGCATAAACTAAAGAACCATGACCTACCTCAAAGTTCTGTACTAACATATGTAAGTAGAGAGTGAAATCGTTCATTATCCGACCCCGCCACTTTCAATGCTTCATTACTTTATTTCATTTGATTGGTTCT